TGTGGTTGATAAAACTCTGAGTAAAAACATATAGAAAGCCTCTTCAAATGGAACCACAATGGGACTAATGACTGTGTGGCCCGGTGCCGACTGTGCAATTACGCCATCATATGTGTGTGTTTGCTTAAGATGTTTGGAACCCTGTAAGGTGGCAGCCGGACAGGAGGCTGCGTGATGTACAGGAAGAAATGATATGTTTGTTGGTTGTGTGTAAACAGGGTTGGGCATTATTAATGCCTAATGTTAGTGGTATGTAAACACAGCACACAGCTGTGTGAAAGACTTTATTTTTACAGGATGCCATTTATATTCACGTGCACAGAAACAAGTAAATCTGTCTTGAAGCAAAGAGAATGAGTCTGCCTCAAGGAAGATTTAGGAATAGATTTGGGACTGCAGCGGTGGGCGTCTTTGGGGGTTGCTTATTTGGTAAATGCGTACAGAGGATGGAAAGATAATGAAGCAACACATGAAATACTTTGGAATACTATAAAATCAACTATGAAAAAACAAATGCATCCATCAAAAATGTGAGATTTGCATGATGAAATGTTCAGATTCACATCTGTTTAATGTCAATAAATCAAAAGACTTCGCAATATTAAATTTAAGGTATAATCCCCACCAGTGTTGGTCAAGTTACTTGAAAAAAGTAATCAGTAACTAATTACTGATTACTTCCCCAAAAAAGTAATCCCGTTACTTAACTGATTGCTTATTTTCAAAAGTAATTAATTACTTAGTTACATAGTTACTTTTTAAAAACACGATTTACAACCTGAATAGGTGATAAAGCGATAGATCTTTCAGCTCAATTCTACTTTTTCTGCATAATCCATCATACAAAATGTAATCAAATGGAAAAGTCCATTTTTTTAAAACTTGTTTTATTAGTTTTAATCTTTTAACTTTATGCATCAAGCAAAAATTAAATTATATGCACCATTCTCTGACTTGAAGAAATTAGTTTAACATTTAAACCTATTTTCTGCACATTCCAGCACATAAAATAAAATATTTTTTGTGTTTATACTCAGTCTTTCAAATAGATGCAAGTAAAACACAGCAGAAAATAAATAAAATCAAAGACTAGCGGTCCTGTTGCTCTATTTTCACCTGTAAAGCAGGAATGGGGTAGGCGGAGGTTTGCCCTGGTGCAGGTGTGCCGCAGCGGTCAGCGGAAGAATCCGTGAGTTTCTCAGTGAATTTCCCATTACATTGTTACGCACTCGGAGCTTGTTTACGTTTTTTTTTTCGGTGTAAAAAGAAGTTTTCTTCCCACTCACAACAGACACTAATGTTTTTGTCACTTTTAATGGAATCAAACTCAAAGTAAGGTCAGTACTTCCACCCTTTAAACGCTGCACGCTCATACTCTCTCCCGCACTGATATATGATCCATTGTTGATCTGCACACAGCTGTTGTCACTAACGTCACACTTGCTTACGTCACTGTCATGAGACATTCTTGCAAAAAAATCACGGTTTTAGTAACGCAGTAACGCAGCGTTCCTACGGGAAAGTAACAGTAATCTAATTACCGTTTTTGCAATAGTAATCCCTTACTTTACTCGTTACTTGAAAAAAGCGTTACGCGTTACTGCCCATCTCTGATCCCCACACACCAGATGAGTTTTATACAGTAAAGAAAGGTCATTGCTCACTTTTGGATACATAAAGATCCAAACCAGTCTTCCAGCTGAAAGTCATCAGGTAAACTCACTGCAACACTGCATCTGCCTCTTTTAATGCAATATTTTAATGCATCTCTCTTTGTTTTGTTCTTTTTAAACAATGATCTCTAACCTGTGAACAGACAGTCAAAAAACATCTTGTCATATACACACTAGTTGTACTGAAAACAGCTTTAAAACAAACAAACAAAAAACCAAAATCCCTAAACAACACTTTTTCTCTTTATGTACATCTAAATTCTGTCTCATTTGTTGCACTTTGAATGGGTCTCAGAGTGCAAGATTATGAGTTCAAGTCAACACTGCAAGTTTCTTTCTTGCTAGAAAGTCTAACAAGGACATCGAGGGGATGTTCAATAAGTAATAATAATAATAATAAGAACTTTATTTATATAGGACTTTTTAAAACACAGAGAAAAAAATGAAATGCTTTACAGTTCAAATAAAAACCACACAATGAAGATAAGTGCACATGTTAAAATGTACCGACACATAAACAGAAACATAATCAGCCATACTGACAGACATTCATTCCAACATACACACATTCATGTACACATGGTTGCAAAACATCAGAGTTGGGAAAAGTATGGATGTTCTGTGCTTATGAGAATACTCCAGTAAAAGTTGAGGTACTGATTCAACTTCTTTACTCAAGTAAAAGTTAAAGAGTTCAGACTCTGAAATGTACTCAAAGCAAGAAAGTGAAAAGGAGCTCTTTGGGGGATGATTCTATTTTCGTGCAAAGCTAATTGGACCTTGTAGTTGCTCGTTCTGAGGAAAAAAAAAATCATAACTCACAATAATTACTATTGGGAGCTCTGGTAGATTTTTTTTAGTGTACAGGCTATGATCAGCTTTGTGGATGTACACAACTTAATTCAACAAGATGTCAGCAGATGTTTCATGAATTATCCTGGCTGATTTCCATCATCTACACTGACAGTACACTGTTATGCTATCTTTTTTCTAGATGTTATAAACATGGTATGAAGGTGGAATTCAGTGAATGAATCTCTGCATCATCAGCTAAAATTCATATGAATCTCTGCTACACTTGATATAACCTAACTCTGACCATGACACCACAGCCACTGTGCACCAGTCACACACTGTTCCTTACTTTAAATCTATCACAGTACAGCAAACTAACCTGTTTATCCTGCACTCACCTTTAAATAACACAGTTGGGCTGCCTCAGTTTGATTTGCAGCATTTTTCATAATATGAAATGCTAACATATAAAAATGAGTTTTCAGCTGTTGCAAAAACAAATAAAAGAGTCAGCTGACGTCAACTCTGGTTTTAAAATCAGAGCAAGCGTCAGTTAAAAGACCCTGAGTAGATGATCAGAGAGGGTGGCTGCTCTGATAAGGTGTTAGAAGCTTTGCAAAATAAGCAGGGGCCTGTCCATAGAGAGCCTTATATGTCAATAACAGAATTTTAAAGTGAATCCTGAATTTTACTGGAAGTCAGTGAAGGTGTAATAAGTAAACCCCTGCTAGCTCGTTCTGAATTGATTGAAGATGAGCTATAGAGGACTGAGAGACACATGTGTAAAGTGAACTGCAATAATTCAAGTGGGAAAAAACTGAAGTGTTCAATATGAAGTACTCTTTTGAAGTACTGGGTTGGGCCCACTTTTGCCTTCAGAACTGCCTTAATTTTTCATGGCACAAGTTCAATGACGTACTGGAAACAATCCTCACAGATTGTTAGTAACTCCATGTTAGTAACTCACTGCCCATGATCAATGAATAGTTCCTCTTTTTTAGGCCATTCTTTATAAACCTCGGAGAAGGTTGTATCCAAAAATCCCAGCAGATAAGCAGTTTCTCAAATATTCACATAAGACAGATGATGCGAATCATAAATCTGTACTTAAGTAATTTTAATCAATCCAGTCAAATTGGACAAATCCATGTGAAACAGGCACCATTAAGAGTCTATAGTCATAACTTTAGCTTAACTTTATGTGTCAGTTTGCTCAAAATGGCAAAGCTGTGATGAAAAGATAATCATGACAACACATATTCTATTCAATAATACATTTCACTGAAAGTCAAAGATTTCGGCGTTTAATCAAAAAGTCGGATAACTGGCTAAAGTGAATTCATATTTAATGGTTGTTGAACTCTGTTTTAGTTAGTTGGAAGCAGAAAATACCAAATCAGTGCATTTATCAGGTTATTATGACTTTGCTCTTGACCTTTATCCTGATGTGATAAATAGGTTTTTATGTGATGCTTGTGATAATAATTAAAATACTGTCTTAATTGGGTTCTAATTACACTATTTATAAGCTATACACTAATAGTGTTTTAAATACAGATTATCTTAGTTAGAAGGTACTTAGCTGAGGATTTCAGAAATTACTTGAAACATTGAACAGCACTTCTGAGGATTTAAATGTTTTTTCTTCGGAAAATGCAGTGCACAGGTTTTATGAGCATTTTGCAAAGAATTTTACAGGCTTAATCGACCTGGCTTTTATGGTTGGCAATATTTATCAGCTCCACACAAGCCTTCGCTTTTATGGCCTCCTGTGAGCTTTGACCCCTCAGCATGAAAGCGTCTCCCCCGCCTCTGCGTAAAGACGTCTGCAGTGCAGGAAACAAAGCGGTTAGAAAAAAGGCAAAACAGGTGTTTAAGTGGTGCCACTGTGTACTGTTGTGTTCTGTTTCCAGGAGCCAGATTTAATGTGCTGTTGTTAAAAATCTGACATTGTAATTTGTTCTCAAACTTGACGGGATCATCACTGAAAACAAGGAAATAAACTTTTTTTAGACGGTAATAGGGAGGCAGGTCTAAACTTGGTGTTTATAAACAGGGTAAATTATAATCCTGGTCATTTTTTTAAAGTAAGGTGTCATTCCAGGTAGAGTGTGTGAGTTTTTCCTGCCCTGCCCTCCCTCTGTCTCCTGGCAGTTGTTCATTAACAAAAGGAGACCAGCCTGTACTAAGGTGGACGATTACTGAACTCGGTCTTTACCAAGAGGAACATAACAGCTGTTATTTCTTTTTTTTTTTGGTCTTTAATCTAGATATTTTGAATTTACTGAAAGTTTTGGGGGCCGGATCTTACACAAAACTTCTCTTACCTGGATTCTTGGCATTGGATCAGGAGAGCGACTTCTTTTTGGTTACTGCAGAGATGTGCTGACTTGTGTTTTTGAACTTTTGTCATCAGTGGGGAAGATATGTTGTGCTTCCAGCATCCTGTTTACCTGAGCAGAGGTCTCTATTTTTGACATCTATACTAGAGCCAAAAATTCAGAGGCAAAAATGAAAGTCTCAGTGATCAGGATGTCCAGTTTACTTTACCTGGGAGTACTTACGCTCGCCATGGTCGCCAGTGACATGATTGATGACTGTTTGAATTCAAACCATTCTTACTACATGAATATTGTACTGCTGGAGGACAACACTTATGAATGGAGCATGCCACTTGTGAAGGCGGCCGTGAAACAAGCTATTCTAGCTGACAAGCAGGAGAACGATAAGTATGGTATGGACAGATAGATACCCTACAGAAAAAACACACAAAACAAAACACATCAGGCTTGAAGAACAACAAGAAGGGTATCAATATATATAGTAGTATCTTTAAAGTCTCTCCGCGAATGCATTAACTTACACAAAACATACTTTACTGTCAATTTTCACACTTAGCTTAAAAATTAAAAATTAAAAAACTGGACTGTTTGGTTTTTGTTTGCCTAGTCTAAAAGTATGACATTTATGTATGACTATTATCTTATTTTCACATGAAATTGTATTTATCATAGGTTAAAAAGATATAACATATAAATACATTTTTCTCAAGCTGCCTGCAGATAGATATAAAAGATACCTCTTTCTAGGTCCTTTTACTGTGTGTACAAGGCGAGGCTAAAATAGTCGTGTCCTGCTAGGAAACGATTAAAGTAGCTTTTAAAAGTGTTCTGTGTATTTAAATCATTCTTCCAGGAATCTGGCTCACTGATGTTTGACCAGTGTTTTACTGCTCGTGTGTGTTTACCACGAAAAAGTTAAATACATCATTAACTTGTGGTTTATGTACCAAATCATATGTCACTTTCGCTGTTGTTAAATAGTTCAAGGTTGCTCGTTTTATTACTAAAAGGACTGATGCAAGATTTCTGCAGTCAATGCCAACAGAAGGACAAAAGATGACTCACAGTTTATCATCTTTGTAGAAGTACCAGTTCTCAGGAATGTTTAATAGCTACCCGTAACACCATTCGACTCTGATCCTGCACTCCGTCACACACAACCTTGGCTGTGCTGTTAACGGCGGGGCCAGAGCTGCTCTGGTGGACCAAAGCATTTGTTATGATGCTATTTTAAGTAATTTTTAGCATTTTATTCTGTAGGGGAAAACATATTGACAGATATGATACAAATGAAACTAATTTAGGAATTTAAATATGTTATGTTTAGATATGTTATTTAAACATATCTGCTGTATCTGTCATTAAGGGACCCTTTTTAAAAAAAATGTTACTGTTCTTCCTGCTTCTGATGCAAATTCAACCATTAGACCTATTTTTGCCAGTGCATAAGGACAGACTAATCTAATCTCATTGTTTTCCGACATTCATTACTCTTATCAATTTTTTTCCATGACTCAAGGTTTAGACTTCACTTTGACTGCTAACTTCAATGGGTTCAACACCAACTTGTACAAGCGGCAGGGCTGCGGGAGCAGCACGTGCGAGGGGTTGACAATACTCAAGAAACTAAATGTAAGTGTGGTTACTTGCTTAAACATAGTGGGCACAATCAGACATAACACTTTCTGATGTGATTTTCTTGTTCCTAAAGCCCCTGAGTTTTTTTTTTAAGCCTTTGTTTTAGATCTTGTAAATAGGTTTGAGGGGTTTTTACAGTTCTGCCACTACTGACGGTTTGAGGTTGTTATGCTTAAATTGGCTTGTAACTGGCATCATTACACACAGCAGGACAGTTCTAGTTGTAAACATGAACTTAACATCATGAATGGACATTTTTATTTCTTGGGGATGCATGAAAATATTATTTCTAAAACGTCATCAGTAGAAAACAAAGAAATCAGTGATGACGTCAGCTCTCTGTAGACTTTTTCCATAAATGTCATCACTGTTATTCGTCATAATTCAAATAATAATAATAGTAATATTTGATTTATAAAAGAACCTTTCCTCATCCACTATATGAACAAAAGTAATGGGACATCTACATGTTACACCTAGCATTTGCTCCCTAAATGCTTCCACTTTGCAATAAAAACACTTACATCTGATCATAGAGGATCTAGGAGGGAAGAAATTCATGAACTGACTTCTTGCAATGATGTTATCCTATTACAGTGGCACGTCTGAATTCAGCGAGCTCTTTAGAACAACCCACTCTTTCATCAGTGATTGTAAAGGCAGACAGCATGACCCAATACTTTTGCCCATTTTGTGTACCGCAAAGTCATACAGTATAGACCTCAGGTAAACAATAGTCAGTATATAAGGTCTGCAGCTTGGAGATATTATCTGACAAGTGTCCAGTGTCAGACGAGCAGAGATTTGAGAGGAAGGGGGCAGAAGTGAAAGAGATCAGAGAAATACTGAAATATTTTTTGGAGCCGGTGTTGGGGATGACTTGATGACTTGTGCTTGATGCCACAGACTCATTGATTATGTGAAGATGATACTGCCATCACTTGCAAGAGATTAAACTATGAGCTTTGTTTGGTTTAGATTGGAAGGTAACTGTGTTACTGAGCTAAAGAGGAAGTTTACCAGAGGGTTTGGTGATATAGAAGTTATGATACTTATAAATTAGTGGAATGTCAAGATACAAGTATCACCACAAACACCAGGCTAAATAGAAGCACAGTGCAATGTAGACAAAGCATGCTGCATAGTGAACTCAGTCAGTGCAGCTCTTACTTTTTTGCCTCATTAGGCAAAGCAGCTGATACTGCTTCCTCCAGCACAGTCAAGAGCAACAGATTTGTCCAGTTTTACTGGGGACTAATGAAATGGATTTGGGGAAATATTGCAAAATTACAGAGCTAGTAGGAATTGAAGCAAAAAGAATAAATGCAAGTAGACTGTGAAGTAACTGCTCTGAAGTTCATTTTCCTTAATGCAGTTGTAACTTTCTTCAGGCTAATGGTGAAGTCGGATGTGTCATGCTGGGGCCTTCCTGCACATATGCCACCTATCAGTTAGTAGAGTAAGTATGAATCTTTTTCTTTCACTTTCATGAGATTTTTTAATTCATGAGTTTTTAATTTTTGCCCGTTTGTTTTTCTCCAGTGAAAACATTGGTCTGCGTTTAACCATTCCCATCATCTCTGCTGGAAGTTTTGGCCTCTCTTGTGACTACAAGCCTAAACTAACCCGAATTCTGCCTCCAGCACGAAAGATCTGTGACTTTTTCCTTAACTTTATGAATGAAACTCTGCCATTCAAGGAGGATCCGTGGAGCCGATTCTACGTCTATAAGAAGACCAACAATGCATCTGAGGACTGCTTCTGGTGAGCCAAACTCAAGCGATTATGGATAAGATCTGTTGTTTCGTTTGCACTCCAGCGTCAACCGGCTTTTTGATTTGTTTCATTGCTTTGCCACAGGTATATCAACGCACTGACGGCAGCTACTAACAAGTTTATGCTGGGCACAAACACAGAGACAATTCATGGAGAGGAGGGCCTGAAAAAAATGTTCCAGTCTCCGAAAAGACACAGCAACAGTGAATATAAATATTTTTGTCTGTTTTTGAGAATTTATAGTTTTTTAATAAAGCAGAAAAATGCCTTGGTCTTCTGGGGATTTCATTGTAAGTTGGTTATTTAAGCCGTAGCAGTCGTCAAGACTGAAAGAGCTGAATAACCAGTAGTCTGACTGAAGAAGTGCACTAACACAGCTGAAGAATTTTCCTTCTTGCTTACTGTAAAACTGATTTATTTCTTTCAGTTTTAATCTTGTGTGGGGACACTGATGAGATGGTTTCAGTAAAGGAGCTGGTGGGCCAGATTCCCAAAGACTTCCTGTTTATTCTCCTAGATGTGTACAAGTAAGCTGGACATGAATTTATTGTTTCACACATGCACTGCTACCACAACGTTTTTATTAAGTGGGAATCAAGAAATCTTAATACTAAGAAACTATTTTCCTTCATTCAGCCCTGATTATTATTTAAACACCACATCTTCTGCTGGTATGGAAAATGTCTTAGTGGTCACTCTGCCGCAGAGAAACTACACCTCTGGCTCTTCATTCAATGAAACGGTGAGTCGCACCTCAAGCTCAGAAAGAAGACCACGTGAAGTAACTGCTCCGTCTTTTACCGTCCATTCTCTCGTGCAGGTAAACGATTATGTGGCAGGATATCATGATGGGACTCTGCTGTTTGGTAAAGCACTCAGAGAGAGGATGCTCAGCGTACAAAAATACAACGGGACCGACAACGGCTCTCTGGGTGACAACCCATTTGGAAACATCTCATTTTATGGTGCGTATGACCAGAGATAACACAGCTGGAGGCAGAATGCCAGAGGACTGTGATAAGCAGCATCTGGGAGGACACCATGCCTATTCAAGTAGCTGAAATAAGAAGGATGAGTTAAACATTCTTTTATTTTATGCCCACAAGATTGATGTTGCTTAGATCAAAGTTTGACTGCAGCTGAGGAACAAAGATGGCTTTCACATTAAAACACAACCGCCGTCTCTTTTTTAAATTCTGCTGGTCTGTGTTGAGGTTTTGGATGCTATCATACAACAAAACCAATAATACCTGAAGATGACTTCAGATGACTTTGAAAGGATAAAGAGATTTTCATTGCTTGTTTTTTCTTCGAGTTAATATTTACTGCAGTTCAGCTCACTGCAATGTGGAGATTGTCCTCCAAGATACAGAGTATGAGATCAAAGTGAGTATTTACAGCCCTTGATCTTTTGTTTTATGGTAACTTTTATTGTTTTCTGGCTAACTCTTACCCTGTCCTCTTACTTGTACCCAAGTAAAAGGGTCAGTCGGTCTTCTGGATTTTTCTTTAGGGTTAAAGGGTACAGGTATGAAAACGATTCCATTATGATTTCTTTTTCTGTACCGACTACAGCAATAATGGGATGCCACAGACTGTATATAAAAGATGGATGAGTCACCATAAGGTCACCTGCTTCTGGGCTCAGTTTTATGAAGCCTGCATGTCAGGGGTTTTGGAAAATGGCTT